TACCAACTACCTGAAGCTGTTGCTCCCAATGTCGTTGGTTAATTATTGTCACAGAACATCTAACTCACTTACGATACTAAATGTTAGTCAGCCTAAAATCTAGAAATGAAATATTTATTCAGAAAGAAAACGATCAATTAGAATGTACTTTACTAATATGTCTGTGTTTGAAGTGATATTTTCAAAGCAAATAAAAGTGAATTGCTTTATGTTTGGTTTGTGTGTATATACAGTATGTACAGGTAGGTTATGTCTTTAGTTAATCTTGTTTACAATATCTACTCCACTCTAGGTGAGAGGGTATTGGAGGAATTGTGTATTCTCTTGTGTTTCAAAGCTGTACAGCAGATGCTCTTTTTCTTTTTTTTCTTTTTTTTCCCCTTTTTCTTTTTCTTGCTTACTACTAGGTTTGACTGTTGTTAAGCACACTCAGTTGAAAATAAACAATGTTTTCATAATTACAATTTCAAGAATTTTTGTCCAAAATAATTGTTGAGTGACAACAAAAGTGACGATTACAGTATATCACATTCGGAAAATTTGCATATTTACTTTTAACCTTTGTACTATTTTTGAAGTACTGTATAGAACATTATGCCCTGGTAAGCATCATGTGGACACTCTTTTGAAGTAAGTGTGCGCGTAAATTTTACATCTGTCGTAACTTTACTTCAGACGGAAGGCTGTCTGAACATAAATATTGTCAATAATTGTATCATTGCCACCTAAAATTTTAATTTATATATTTCTACTGTTAATACAGTACATATTTCAGTGTAAAAACTTTTGTGATAAAATCAAGACCAACATTTGTTTCCATTCCCACAACAGCAAACCTGCTTGTGAATGCAGACCTACTGTAACTGTTAGCTAAACTGTTATACTGTCATGTCACAATATTGATTATGTATAGATTTGCTACCTGAGTCAAAACAAATGCAATGTACATAAATAATACTGTATATACTGTAGGTAGAGTAGAGATTTATTAGAATTACCTATAGAGAATTAGGAAACTTGTATCTAAAATGGCATGATCAGAATGTACTGTTAGCCCTCTTCAAGTGTTGTCGTCTTTTTTTTTATGAATACCAGTATTATATCAAAATAAAAAGATGTTTTTTTTTTTTTTTTAAAGTCAAGGTCACTCTGGAAATTTGCCAATTTATCATCAACTACTTTTTTTTTTATAACAACATATTTTATAAGAACACTGAGGCTGAAATGGCTTAAAAAAAGAACAAAATAAGAACAAATTCAGGATGATGTAAAGTATCAAATGAGGTTTTTATATATTTTTTGAAATCTTATTTGTACCTTAGGTGCAGTAGTTAGGACTATGTAATACCCTCTACAATACAGTATAGTAACATACTATTCATTTATGATTGTCTATTTTTGAGACGTGTATAAAATAAGAACAAAATAAAAAATGTTTAACCTGAAATCAGCAAAAAAAAAAGAAAGATAAGAACACTGAGCCTGGGGAAAATTTTACTGGTTCTTATTTAAAAAAATTGTGTATTTGGCTATGCATTATTGTATTTGGCTTCTGTGTATAATATGGGCTACTGTTTTCATAAATTTGCCCTATTGGAACAACACCATATCTGTTCTTAACTCCAATATCGCAAGTAAAGCGAATTTGTTGCTTATTTTGGGTCTGGTGACTCATTGCCAGACTGAAGCCGCCCCTGAAAAGAACCCTAAACAAATAATAGGACCTATGTCTGAACAAAGGTCAATGACCTTACACATAGTCCTGCTTGTTCTGTACCCTGTACTTCAGTATGCTAGTAGTAATTCAAATATTATTTTAGTGGGTCATATTTAAAGCCTATTATGTATGGTTGTTGGTACTTCATTGGGAACATAATCCGCAAGCCACAATATAAGTGTAGTGCAGTATAATGTCTGTGACCAAGTCAGGAGAAATGATTTTGGATTTGTCATACTAGGATTTCACTAGCTTTGTGAGTTTATTTTTTTCAAAATGCTTTTTAATAATGCCAGATCAACTGGTAGTAAAAGGAGAGCTGTATAAATGACAATGTGATGTAATATTGTGTATTGGTTTTTAGCATAAGTTAACTAATATAGATAAGTAAAATGTTTTAATGTTTATTTAGAAAAATGAATAATATATTTGGAATTGTTTGTGCTAGTTTATATTTATTTAATATTTCTGTTTGCTTTAATATTATTATTATTATTATTATTATTATTATTATTATTATTATTATTATTATTATTATTTGCCAGGAAAGAGAATAGGCAATTAGCCTGAACAATTTGTACTCTCCTCTTTTAACTACACAAGTGCAGAATTCAAACATATATTAAATATATTCAAATTTATTATATATTTTCTATTATAGTTATTTATTTTTATTTTTATACTGTAGTTGTTTTTTTTTTTATATAGTTATAGCACAGATACCATAGGATCTGTGGTTATAGTATACAGTAACCATTATTCATTGACATTCTATCAAAATTAGTAACAATTAACATCCATTGAAACACAATACTTAAAACCCTATTTAATAGAAAATATAATCGGAAATTATTTGAATGTAATTATTTTGATGTAAACTAGTCTGAGCTTTACAGATAACATCAAATATTGGAATTCATTTTGAAATTAATATGTGATCTCATTGGTCGTGTTTTTTGCATCATTGCCATACAATATATTAAATATATTCAAATTTATTATATATTTTCTATTATAGTTATTTATTTTTATTTTTATACTGTAGTTGTTTTTTTTTTTATATAGTTATAGCACAGATACCATAGGATCTGTGGTTATAGTATACAGTAGCCATTATTCATTGACATTCTATCAAAATTAGTAACAATTAACATCCATTGAAACACAATACTTAAAACCCTATTTAATAGAAAATATAATCGGAAATTATTTGAATGTAATTATTTTGATGTAAAACTAGTCTGAGCTTTACAGATAACATCAAATATTGGAATTCATTTTGAAATTAATATGTGATCTCATTGGTCGTGTTTTTTGCATCATTGCCATACATGTTATTGATATATGTTTGTACTGTACACAGTAGGTAAGTGGAACCAAAGTCCATTTGTGTACAGTAACTGTTCACATGGAGGTATTTCAACACTCTTGATGAAAAATGCAATCATATTCCTGAAGAGGGCACTGTTTTCATGTTAACAAAAAAAAATGCAAGTTCTTGACTCCATTTTCATAATTTAGTCAGATATCCACACGCAAATATCTTGCAGTGCAGCGTAAGAGTAGCTGGCAGGCCCATTCGTGAGAATAGTTTAGTTTGCTTAAGGCTCGCTACAAAATTGATAATTATTCAGACAGATGCAATTCTATTGCCGAAGAGGGATCTTGAAATTTATGTTTACAAATTTGCATATTCAATTCGTATGCATAGTGCACACATCAAAAATTGCAGTTTATTAGATTTCTAATGGGGTCATAGCAGATGGTTTATATGGTTTATATAAAACCTTATGCTTTTTTTTAGTCATTTTTTTTTATTGGTACATTACTTTGTTGTAACTAAATTTCAATATCAAAATTTTGAGGATTTGACTTGTGTTGACAGTACTGCAGTACTCCATAAAATATTGTATGCATCTTTATTTTGTATGCCTATGACTAATGAAAAAAAAAAACACAAAATGCGGGGTAATTAACTAAACTGTACTCAGCAGAACTCCTAAATAAACATACAGATTTATATGCTTCAGTAATTCTAGTAAATTAAGTTACTGTAGTCCATGATAGCATAGCTTTTTTGTACAGGCATGTTATTGTAACTGTCACAAAAACATACATTATAATATTATTATTTAAAAAATATATTTTTGTGTTTTGTATTTATTAGCCATTTGTTTATGAATTGTGTAATTGTGTAACAGAGGAATATTTATTCATTATAGTCTTGAAGTCATTTCAGAGTTTGACGGCACCCCTGAGTCCATGTACAGAGTAGCTTTTAGTGTTAGGCATTTTTTGGATTCGTTGCTAATAGCTGAAATAGCTGTAGTTTATTGTAGTGCTAAATAGTGTCAAAGATGGGAAGTACTGTTCCAAATAAATCAGAATATTTGTATGAAGTAAGCCAATTTTGCTATTTTGTTGAACTTGCAAATTTTGGTATTTCTTATTATCTGATCCCAGAAACAATATAATTATGGATTTATCATGCTGAATATAAAATGTAATTTTTCTAAGTTAAAACAATACAAATGATGAGAGAACTTGAGATAAGAACTCAACACTTTAAAGACTAACTATAAAATTATTATTATTGTTATTTATTATTATTATTATTATTATTATTATTATTATTATTATTATTATTATTATAACATAGGTAGATGAATACATTGTGGGTAACTATAACATTGTATATATCACATTCTTTTGTGTTTTTATTAAAGAATGATTTTACCTAATGCATTATAATATAGGTAGATGGATACATTTGTGTGATATCACAGTTCTTAAGTTTGTGGTTTATGTTAAATTTATTAGAAATTTAAAAAAAATGTCCTGTGGTTAAAAATGAAAATAAAAAGATTAACAAGAGTATGCATGCATAATCAGTCTTTAAGGTTCATTACCTTTTATATGTCATTAACATCCTCAATTGTGAACAGCAGTGGTCACCAATTACATGCATTTATCAAGGGTGAGATTGCATAAGAAATAGGCATTGATTGTCAATATTTAACTGGCACATACGGTGAATTCATTATGCTATAACCTGCACTCTTGGCCTAAATCCCCTTATTTAGCTGCGATTGTTCTATCCTCGTTACTGCTCATTTGCATATTGTGCTAGTAATTATTTCATGTGCTTTTCTAGTGTAAATTTCTTTCGGGAGCCGCTTTTAAGTTGTTATATCGGGTTCTACAATGAATAGCTTTACGCACTGATTGAAATTACTGTATTATAAATTTTTCTTGGTGTATGAATATTCATGGTTAATTATGAACAAATTGGTGCCGTGCAGGTATGTGAATTTGTTTTTTTTTATATAAATATTGATGAGGTTGTTTCGTTTTGGTTTATAATTTGTACATCCTTACCGTATTATGTAAATATTGATGATTTCAGTATGTTTTCCGATAATATAGATTGGGTAGCTTTTACACGTGTAATTCGATACCATTCAGTATGCTGTAAGCATGGAGAAAGATTTGCTGTCTCCATGATTCAAACAATATGGAATATGGCAAAATTAATTTTCCAGAATGAACCAAACAAATGCTGATATTGTAGAGTAACTACTGTAACTATAGAAGATAATCATAGTTATAATAATGATGTTTAATTTATAATACTAAATTTTCATAAAATTACTTAATTAACTAGATAGATTATTTTTATTTGTAATTGGTTTAAGCATATTTGTTTTTTATATTAAGAATTTTATAAATGTGATAATATTTACACTTATTTCTTTATTTGGTATTTTGTCCCTTGTTTTTACTATAATATAGTTCTATGAAATTACTGCTTTTACAATTTTGATATTGAAGTAATATGTAAAAAATATATTAAATTTAAATTATATATTACTGTATGTCATTGTCAGGATAAAAAATAAAGAATAAAAAAATAGTTCACATTCAATTTCAGTATGAGGATTTAGAGTCATTTTAATTGTTATTTTGTATCATTTGTATCTTTAATAATATGTTCATAGAGTATTTGAAATATTGTATTTCCACTGTTTAAGATCCTATTTCTATAACATAAATTTATAATAGTTACTGTATTAATAGGACATCACATTGAATTTTACAATGTAAAGCTTACATGATGCATGGAGGAAATACTGTAATTAATGCATGATGGCAATGCGGACCCCTCTGATGTCTTGTGGATTCTTATCCAGTGCATTCTTGTCCTCTTGATGTAGGTCAAATTTTAGTATAAGTGAAGTAATATGATAGATCCAGGATTAGAACCTGAGACCAGCAATCTCTTGATGACCTAGCTTCAGATACCGCATTGATTCAATAGTACAGTAAAGTTCCAAGAAAAAAAATTACCACATGACTTCATGTTTTAGTTTGATGTTATACTGCCCTCTATTATCCTTTTATGAATTGACACTGACTGCTAAGGTTTTAGGTCGTTAAAACATGTCATGCACCACTGTTGCGAGACCTGAGATTATGAATCAAATTTCCTTTTTCTATATTATATTTAGAAAAAAGCAATTTTAAAATTGACACTCATTTGCATAATGACCTCTTGCATAATAAGCTCATGTACTTGGGATCAATGAAACAACATTAATGTTGATGATTATATTTGAACTGTTGAGAATTTTCAAGGTCAAGTTGGTGTTGTGTAGAACGACACAAGAGATTCACGGTGAAAACAGTGTATTGGTAATTAAGATGAAAATACCCATAATTCCTTGTGTAGCATTATTATCATGCTCACCATATTATTACAATGTCCTTGGTTCGTTCAGGCCCAAAAGTGTTAGAATTTGTCTCACAATAAAAAAGAACTATATGGCGATCAAGTGTCCAAAATGTTCATTACTTAATGAATCATTAAATATTGTTCCAAATAATTGAAAGGGAAACACTAAAATAAAGCCATACCATTTTTCTTTCCCTTTCGTCCCACCCCTTTTTGCCCATCTCCCTTTCCCACCTCTTTTTGTCCAACCATTTTGTTAATCTCTGATTTGTCAGTAGTAGTTTTATAGTGTGTTAATTGACAACTACAATTTACCAGAGTATAACAACATATAATAATATGCCTTAAACCTACAGTATTTGGCATCAGAATGACAATTATGCTTGTCTTCATTTTTTAATGTTATTATTATTTTTTTTTTAATTAAATTTTTCTGTTTATGGTTGTAGAGTAAATGTTGCTGGCACACACTGTACAGATGAGTTACATAATGATGATAGGCTTATAATTATTATTTGCTGATAGATTTCATAGTAAAGTAATTATCGTGGTTATATTTTATATTGATAAATGGGATGTTATTTAGTAAATTAGAATTCTGACCAGTCTTGATAAATTGTTGTCATTTGTTATCATGAGTTACATATCATGGTACAACATATTACTAATTTAACTACAGAACCCCTTTGTTATATTATTTATATTAAGATATATACAGAGCTGCACCTTGTTAGTAATTCCATGTAAATTTGATTTCATGATATAATAAAGTAATTATTAATTTGTTTATATTTTATATTGATAAATGGGATGTTATTTAGTAAATTAGAATTGTGACCAGGCTTGATAAATTGTTGTTATATGTGATCGCAAGTTACATATATCATGGTACAACAAAATAATATAATTTATCTATAGCAATGAAGTTCCCAGAAGACCATTTAGGTGTATGGATTTGTCCAACTATATGATTTATAGCTGACACAAGGTAAAATCTTCAGATTTGACAGGTCAAACCCAGAGTAAGCCTGCAAAATCCTGCATCAAATTAACCATTGATCGATCACTAAATCTAAAATCTACGTGCATTTAGTATAGGACAGGTGGACCCATGAAATCCAGGTGTTAAAATTAAGGTTTCCAGGGTTTTGGTTTAAATAGAAATCTATCCCTGCTACTTGCTCGATCATCTGTCATGTCAGCCTAGGTGTTTTTGTATGAACCTGTCAGTTAATGTATTGCCTCGTTTTCTCGCCGATCGTTGCTTATTTAATTATCGTGAGGAATATATTCGTTGGCATATGAAAATTTAAACTATAACGACCTTCATGAATGACGGCTCAGTGGATGCTGTAGGATGTTGAGTAGTTCACCTCGATATTGTCTCAAGTCGGTCATGTGAGGATGCAGTAATCTGATTGTCACATTTTATGTTGATGTAAATAAAGAGAGGTAGCATAATCTAATGAATAAACCCACACAGTTGGTCTACAATGTACAAGTCTATGTACAGTATATGAACATACTGTAAAACCTTGAATTGATGCCCTGGGCTTCCTTTTTTAGAGAACTTTGGATGGGCTTCTTTTCGAAATGAATGCTGTATTAAATTTTGAGAATTTGTACTATGAAACAATAAATAAGGCCACTGTAACATCAATCTGTATCATGGAGTGTATTTAACTGGCATTAAGTGACTAAAACTACTGTATAAACCAAGCTTGTTTTCAATTTATTTTCTTTTTTTAAATTCATGTATAGTGTATGTACTGTACTATCTCGAAATGAAGCTTATGCCATCTTGAAAAGAAGCCCATGGGCTTCTTTCCAAGACTAATTTTGCAAACTAAAAAAGGGGGCTTTAATTCAAGGTGGGCTTCATCTCAAGATTAAGCCCATTGGGCTTCAATTCGAGATTTTACAGTAGTTTAATGAATTATTCCAGCAAGAATGCATTTTACAGTGTTCGAGTGCTCATGTCATGGTTGTTTTTGTCCTGGTGAATTATTTCTTTGTAGTTGTTTTAAAAGTTTTTGCTATGTTTTTTGAATTTGTGATGTTTACTTACAGTATGTACTACTATATCTTTATATAACTTTTACTTAGATGATTATCAGATGATTAATTAATAATAATAATCACTTGCATTAATTATAGTACTGTAATATTCTTTATCACTAATAATATTGAGTAATGAATAAATTAATAAAATTAAAACCATAACAAAAAGGTTATGATATTTTGCAAGGAGAAAATGTCACGGTAATAACAGCTATTTCATGGGATGGATGTATGTTGCCGTTATGTATTTTAATTTCTACAGTATTGATTTGGATAAGTAGGTTTGACTGAAGATATTCAAAAGTCCATGGCATAATTAGCCATCTTATTTATAGGTTTCGCAATTATATATGTATTTGGTATTAAAATATGTTATTTAGAGTACTCTAGGGCAATTGCCAACCAGACAATGCTCTCATTCCGTCTACAGTATTATAGGCCTATCAAAATTATCATACTAAAATTATTAAATGCACTCCAAGACTATAAGCAAATCCAGTTGATATTCAAATATTATAATATCACTAGCATGAACAATCTCCCTTTGTGATTATTGAAAAATAAAATGGTTAGTTCGGTGCAGTAATATGGTACACAACAATAAAACGTTAAATGAATAATTACTTTGTTAGCTAATACCCTATTCAGGCTACACTCTGTTGCGATCGGTTGCAATTTAATCAGTGGTAATCCAAAACTGATTACTTCTGATCGCAATCAACAAATGCATTCAGACCAAAACAAACAAACTTTATATTCTAGGGCCTAGGCCTCCAGTGGCTAGGCCTCCGGTGGCTAGGCCTATGTTGACTGACCTGAGACAAATAGTGCATGTGGAATTTGTTGTGATTCATTGCGAGCGAATTCCGTGGTAGTCGGGAGTAATAAAATTGTAGCACCCAATCGCAATGGGTAACAATTGCTATATCGATTACTTATTGCCTAATGTTGGTGAGCTTTCATACACGATTTTACTTTGTGATTGGGTGTCGCTAGTCTAAATGGGATATTAGTTAACCAGAAAAAAAAAACCAAATTGTTGAAAATTAGAAAAATTGAATACATTTTCACATAACAAGTTATAATAATTTATTATCACAATATTTTATGCAGTAGTCAGATTTTTATTAATGGAAATTTTTTAGTAAACATTTATAAAACAGCATAGAAAATACTACTTATAATTGAAATTTAGTGTTTGGTAAGAGCAGATTAAAAAATCCATTATATGAAGACAGTTTACACGTTTATATATAAATTTATATATGTTTACAATTCTATATTTACAACATGGATAGTTTAATCTTTATTGAGAAGTTAAACATATGACATTTATAGTAAGCTATATAATAATTGATCTCCAATATTTTCATTCAGGAATCTTTTTTCTCAATGCTACTGTATCCTGTAGTAAGATCTGTAGACTGTAGTAGATTTTTTGTTATCTGTTGCTTTGTTTTTTGTATTTTTTTTCTCTAAAGTTTTGTTCACTTTTGCATAAATTATATCATTGTTGCTTCAGATACCTTGAATACCAACACCAACCAGTCGTACCCGCAGTATTATACTCAGCCCCGTCCCGTTAAAAATAAGGATCTAAGTGACTATGGCGACCCCAACTATTACAGGAGGGAACAGCCCAAGAACCCAGTGAGAAGACATACGTTGGACAATCTTGGGGACACCAAAGCCATCAATACTCAAGCGAAGGTTAGATTGTTGTTACTATTATTATTAATATCGTCATCATCATAACATCATCAACGTATACCATTATCATCATAACATCATAATTACAATCTTTATTATCATCATAGACATCATCATTATAACATCATCATCAACATCATAAATCATCATCATCATAATTATCATCATCAACATCATCATCATCAGAACATCGTCCTAATTATAATCATCATCATAATACCATCATCATAATAGCATCATCATAATTATCATCATCCTCATCAACATCATCGTAACACCATTATCATCTTAACATCATTTTATTATCATCATCGTCATCATAATAACAGTATCATCATAACATCATCATAATCATAATTAATAATCATCATCATCATTATCAAAGAGAAAAGAAATAAAAAAACAGTAAGCTCACTAACTGAATTAGCTTTAAAAAAGTCTCCTTATTTATTTTGCCAAGGTTACAGTAAGTGATATTCTAATTTTAAAAATATGTTCGGCATAATGCTTTTATCATTGAAGGTTTAACACAAAAGTGTTCTTTTTTTTTTAACTCGGCATGTTTGTTGTCATGTTGGTATGTGAATATTAGCACATGATTCATTAGGAAGAACGTTTCCAAGTCCATGGGGTGATCCTCAACATGTGGTTCACATGGAAAATGTAGTCGGCATGACAACCGTTAGAAAGCGGTACATTACATAGAACCAATGTATGTTTTGGTTTTTCTTGAAGGTTATTTCACAATGTTTTAAAAACTAAAATAACTAGGCCTGCTGTACATAAATATACTGTACAAAGTTTACTAAAAATAATGTATTTATATATACAGAATGTAGGCAGTTAAATAATGGGGTCATGATGACCTTAAAACTACATCCCAATCTTAAATTTACTATTTGGTGTAAATATACAGATTCTCATTCATGTAAGGACGTTATATTAAATATGCTAAGCACAGTCTCGAATGATGAAAATCACCCATTACGCAGATGTCCTGTAGCAAAATTGGGGATAATTATTGTAAGTAAAAACCTGAAGGAATCATCGTCGTTAAATTCATTCTGGCCAACTGCAACAAGGTTGAAAAGTAATCAGTAGGGTAAAATAATGTCAGTATGCTAAATGACAAGTATATGATTAATGAGTACAGCTTTTTGGATGTAATATTAATATCAACTCTCCATTAATGGTGAGTTGCATGGGTCATCCTCATTAAATGATATATCATATATCAAATAAGTCATTTAATTATATTCAAAACATCTTTTAAATTGTCTTTTTAATATTTTATTATTTTTTTAAAAATTATTCAACTTGCCACTGAAGTAATAACAAGAAACTAAGAAGCTCCAGTGAGGGAACATGTCAACTGACATGTTCTCATAACGCACATTGAGCCAATCTAAAAAAAAAATAATAATAATAATAATTCTTTGCTTGTCCTCATTCTAATTGGAAATGAAAAATTAGGCTGAGCCCCTAGGCGTCTGTGGCAACTGCCGTGCACCACCACCTGACTTAACTACAACATGTAACAGACACATAGGGTTACAAACATTATCCTTTTTCTGGAGCCTGGCTTTAAATTAAGAATAATAAAGGTACCTACCATGTAGATCATTGTTTTTTATACACTTTGTCATGCTGTTTTTCACATTTAAAAGAATCACAAATAAATTATTAATAATTTTATTGGAGACAAATACTGTATACAGTGCCCAGTAGTTGGTTGAAATTTACCCAGAAGTTGGTTTCATTTTAATGAGCGTGATTTTGGCTTTGTTCTGTGGGTTTTGAAGAAAATGTTGAAATCCATAACTGCTGGCCACATGCATGGATTTTAACTTGCAAAATTTGCTGTTAGACATTACAGTACTGTAAGCCAGACCGACAACATTAAAGTCCTTTAACACCCCCTGTGATGTAATTGTAGATATGTCGCGATGTTAACTAGGACCATCTGTATATTAAACCAGCTACACAAACTTTTCTTGTGCTATACCAGTCATATAGTAAACTGTGGTCAAACAAGTGCAGGCTACCAAGAAGGAAGTGAAGGAATATTTTACACATTTCAAGATACAAGTAAACATTTAAAACTTGATTATCGAATTGTTATTGTTGGATCAATATTTGGATGGCTTTGTACTTTTAATTCTGGTATTTTGCATTATCAGAATTGGATTCTATTCATTACACATTTATTTGTATTAATATAATATACAATGAGGATTTAATACTTCTACAGCTGTTTGACAATCAAGGTAATATCATTACTTAAATTAATATTTCTATAATTGTTAACAGGTGGTCACATTATAATTTTTATACTGTAGTTGTAACAAAATTCAATCAGTGCCTATAAATCCATTTGAATTTTATAAAAAATGAATTAAAATCAGCTCAACTTTTTTTGCAGCTTGATCTATGAAGCTTAACATAGGCCAAATTATCTAATACGAAAATTTTTCAATACAATAAAAACAAAAAGGAATACTTGAATGGTCTTTACCAAGTAATCATCTGATTTTTCCGCCTGGGCTACCTTGCGTATTCGTTGTACAATATGTTTTGATTTACTTCTTGTGCTGGCCAACTTTCTATACATTTCAACATCATTTAAGGTGTTCGGTCTCATCTGAGAAAAAAAAAAAGAAATTCATAAGAGTAATAAACATTTTATAATTCTAACATTAACAACTTAAAGTGTTCTACTGTATATGTTTATATATGTTACAATTTATTTGTATTGAATAAAGTTCATTTGGTTTATAAGCATATTATTATAGTAATTCTAATAAAATAAAAGTAAAAATATGTTTTAATGCATTCAAAATGTATATTTAATAATATTACCTTTTTATTAGTATTTGAAACCATGAATAATAAATTATGCCAAAACAATATTGTCAGAAGGTGAATATCCCCACAAAATGCTGTATTTATTGTTTAAAGCAAAAACATCATAATTCAATTGTATTTCAGAAAGTAATTGGATTGAACATGCAATTGAGGTTATGAATTTTAAAATATCGCAGGGTTATTTAAGAACCTTTGGTTGGACATAACACAAATATTGCCTGGTTCCAATCAAATTTAATTGGCTGGAAAATTTGCTGAAAAGGTGAAGAGTTGAATTGTCAGCTATACACTGTACAGTACAGTAGGATTAGTTTATGAATGTGAACTGTTTCGAGGTAACAGACATTTTGGACAGCGCTGTATAATACAGTGCAATGTTACAGTAATACTACCATCACTACTAGTACCACCATCAGCATTTGCCACCACTACATTTCCTACCACCAGCACCAATTACTATCACTGCCATTATCACTGTTATCCCTACCAACCACCATCACACCTACTGTATACCACTGATACTGTACCATAATCACTACCAACACCACAACCACAACTACAACCACAACCTCTGCCACTAATACTATCAGCAGTAATATAATTTTTTGTAAGTTATAAAAATTTGATATAGTTTATGTATTTATTCAAATAACACCCCACTTTGAATATACTACGCCCTCGAATAAACACCTGCTGTAGATCCTCATTTGGAATAAACTCCTCCCTTGAATAAACCCCCCTGGCATTTATTTTTTCCTCAAATAAATGACCCCCTAAATGACTATAAACAAATGTAATGGAAGCAACGTCATTCTCAACACATTCTATTTATGTTCTACTCTCTTAGAATTACATTTTCTCTAACCTGGTTGGTATCAACAAGTAGTTATTATAACGCAAGAATAACAGTTTTTTGACAGTAATTACGTGTTGTAGTTCCACATTTTGTAAAATTTAGTGCCGTTTATTTGAGTATATCCATTATACACCAAAGAAAATAAACGCCTCCCTGGAATAAACACCTCTCTCGAGTTAATGCCCCTTTCAAAAACCCTTCTCAACAATAAACACTCGGGGGTCTTCATTTGAAAAAATTTGGTATTTTAAACAGGATTTGATGAAAGACCAACAAATTTTAAATACATAGTAGAAAAGACAAGATGAATTTAAACCACTAGTAAGGAGGTTATAACTATGAACCTGCTTTGAGACTTTAACATGCAAAAACTAGTTCATCGGTAACATCACGTGTTGCAAAAGGAGTCGTTTTAAAATGACACATTTGATTACCGTACTTAGAGCGGTTTGGCAAACAAAATGAAGATAATCTATTGAATTTGATGATATATAAATGCCCAATGCGATTTCATACTTAACCAATCATGCTACAATTTAGGATTGCAACTTGGAAAAAGGAGAAAAAGTAGATCTTTAAAACAGAGGTGAGTACATTGACGATGATCATAATTTTGATGATGGTATAGTAGTGACGTTAAACATAATGAAAGCTAAAGGTAAATTATTGGTTATAATTATGCTGACGGAAAATGTGATGCAGAAGATGCTATAAGTTGTATATTTTGTATATTATACATCTGCAGATAAGTACTGTAAGCTAAATAATTTTTAAGTGAATTATTTTCAGGTGATGGCCTAAAGTAAATTCTGCTTTCAATAATAAACCATGTATTAGAGCTGCTTTAGCTCAGTTAGCTAAATTGACGATAGTTATATGTTCACTGAACTATTGAGACAATTGAAGATGTCCTGGTTCAATTCCAGTTTCTCCTATCCTTGTGTTCTGGTGAAAAATGAGTTACATTTGAGCAGTCTTTTGGATGATTAATTTATACTGTTGGTCCCATGTGCAATATGGACCACATAAATGTTAAGGAATGCAGTAGGCCAACACTCTTCGGAAGAGAGTAGGGGATTGTTTCATAATGTAGTGCTCAATTCACCCCCAGAGAAACTCACTGGAAACATGTCTTCGGACTTAATGGGTTTTCCTTCCATTCCTGTTAAATCTATTTCGTTTTTTGAAAATTAGGTTTGAAAATTTTAATTAGTGCAGTTAGTAACAATACTTAGAGACTGCCCCCAAGTGTTCTTGGCACAACATCTTTTTTTTAAAT